CTGACGTTGCTCTCCTAGACACACAAGATGTGGAGAACATGAGCGACGATGATGGCTGGCAGTTTGTAAATCTTGGAGACCAGCAGAGCTTTGGAATTAAAACTTCAGGACTTGAAGCAAAAGCAACTGCTTGCCAGATGTTGGTTTACTATGCTAAGGAGTTAAGAGAAGGATTTGTGGGCTATACAGAACAAGTTGTGAAGCTGATGGTTCCTTTATTGAAGTTTTATTTCCATGACAATGTCCGAGTGGCAGCTGCAGAAGCCATGCCCTTTCTCTTGGAATGTGCAAAAATTCGTGGCTCAGAGTATCTTTCACAGATGTGGCAGTTTATATGTGATCCCTTAATCAAGGCTATTGGAACTGAACCTGATACAGATGTACTCTCAGAGATAATGAATTCTTTTGCAAAGTCCATTGAGGTGATGGGAGATGGTTGTCTTAATGATGAACACTTGGAAGAACTGGGAGGAATTCTGAAGGCAAAACTTGAAGGGCACTTTAAAAACCAAGAGTTGCGGCAAGTAAAAAGGCAGGAAGAAAATTATGATCAACAGGTAGAAATGTCTCTTCAAGATGAAGATGAATGTGATGTTTATATTCTGACCAAAGTATCAGATATTTTGCACTCATTATTTAGCACTTACAAGGAAAAGATTTTGCCATGGTTTGAACAGCTGCTTCCTTTAATTGTGAATCTAATTTGTTCAAGTAGGCCATGGCCAGACCGACAGTGGGGATTGTGCATATTTGATGATATCATAGAGCACTGCAGCCCTACATCATTCAAATATGTTGAGTATTTTCGGTGGCCAATGCTACTCAATATGCGAGATAACAACCCCGAAGTCAGGCAAGCTGCTGCTTATGGACTGGGTGTTATGGCACAATTTGGTGGAGATGATTATCGTTCTTTATGTTCAGAAGCTGTCCCGTTGTTGGTAAAGGTTATTAAGTGTGCGAATTCCAAAACGAAGAAAAATGTCATTGCTACAGAGAACTGTATCTCGGCAATAGGAAAGATTATGAAGTTCAAGCCCAACTGTGTGAATGTAGACGAAGTTCTCCCGCACTGGCTGTCATGGCTTCCGCTGCATGAAGATAAAGAAGAAGCTATTCAGACTTTGAATTTTCTCTGTGACCTAATTGAAAGTAACCACCCAGTTGTGATTGGTCCCAATAATTCCAATCTTCCAAAAATCATCAGTATAATTGCAGAAGGAAAAATTAACGAGACTATTAGCCATGAAGACCCCTGTGCCAAACGCCTAGCCAATGTTGTTCGGCAGATAAAGACTTCTGAAGAATTATGGTTGCAGTGTGTATCCCAACTTGATGAAGACCAGCAGGAGGCTTTACAGGAATTACTCAGTTTTGCCTGAAGCACTTTACTATCACTTGAATATCAGCTATCATAAAAATAACTACAAAGTGTTGTGAGTGGATCCATTACAAATGAGATACCACTTCTCTCTGCTAAGCAGTTCATATTTCCGTGTTTCTCCGGGACTAGTGTTAAGGTCTTCTGTCTATTTTGCATGTGTCATCTCTTAAAGAAACGGTGGTTGTAACTTGTGCTTCCAGTTGTCTTAGAGTTATTTGTCACCTTCCCCCTATTTAGTGTGAAATGTATAAATCGTTGCTATTTGTCTGAACTGTTGATGCTGGGTAAACAGTGCCAAGATGTCTGTGACTATCATGAGATGTAAAGAGCTCATAAAGAAAGGGAAACTTCCAGGATAGGCATCTTTGGAATTGAGGGTGGAGTGTACTGGCAGACTTACTCTTCCTTGGTAATACTTCTGTTTATTATGGTACTGGAAGGATGCTAGAACTGGAAAAGTTTCAAGGTACTGCAGTGGATGTAGGAGGTTTTTGCTATAGTATAAATGAACCTTTTCATGGGGAACTCCTGTAAAGTGGTTGGAGTGTGACTAAATTCCAGTTTCCAAGGTGTCCAGTTGAGAGGTACAAGAATTTAACCAAATTGGTCTTTAAAAAATATATATTTAGAATTGAAATTGTATGGAAGAGGAGTGCTAATACATCTAACCCTGAAAGCGTGTGATAGACTTTAACAGAGCTTAATAAATAATAGTCAGTGTTTGTGGGAGTCAGTTATTGTTACATGTTTTAGCAGAATATTTGTGTTTATATGTAATACCTCCCCTACCCCCACACCAAACAAGAAAGGAAACCTTTGTTCAGAATGGGGGATAGATTTCTGTTTTGAAGCAGTTCCTAACAGATTCTACAGAAACAGTGAAACAAACTTAATTTCATCTTTAAATATTAAAAAAGAAAATGAGCTCTAATACTAGTCATGTATCAGTGTATTGTTTTACAGAACAACTCTGAATTTAGGATTAATTATATTAATTGAAATGTCTTTACTGTTGAAGGTGTTTTGTAGAGTAGAAGAAAGTTTCTACTTAACAAAACTTCATTCAAAACTTACAAACGAGAATGTCTGTTGTGATTTCCTGAGCCTGTTGTGAGTGCAGTGTATGTAATGGGGCAAATATGTCAGACCCTATGTCAGACCCAGTAAGTGCTCAATAAACTGTCAGTGTTACTACTGTTGGTTGTTCTTCTACTGTGTTCTTTGTCATACTTTAGAATTTGGTTTACATGGCATTTACCCCCTACTAGGTCTATCTAGACTACTGTAAACAGGGATATAAAGTTAGATTTTTATATAGTTCAGAATTTGATATATAATATGGTTACAAGTGTATTTAAATAGGAAAATAGCTGCCTTGAAGTTTAATAGTTTTCTGTGGGTAGTGAGATTAAATGGCAACTTTTCCTCTTGTCTATAAATTAAAATTGCATACAAGCAACATATTTCTCATATAATAAAGTGTTTTTTGTAAAGTTCAAGGACCTGATTTACTATCATCTTGACCTCTTCATGAACAAGAGTTAAGGTTCCTTCTACTTACCTGTAGCTCTTATGTGGCTTAAGAAATCATTCATTAGTGTGTTGTTTGCTGTTCATACAGTCTTGTGAAACTGGCAAATGATTTATAACTGGGTACTTGGAGTTTTGAAGTAAGAGAGCTTTTAAATTTGAATCTTTTCCTAAGTGTTCATTTCCCCACCTGCAAGATGATAGTACACAGCTTATACAATTCTTGTATGAATCAAAGGAGACAATGAATATAAAGTGCTTAGCCACAGAAGGGTCAGTAAATGGAAACTATTGTGTGAGAATTTTGAAATAGGTCTGGTAGCTAAAAGAGAATGGGCATTTGCGTGAATTTGGTAGGCTTTAGATTCTTGTGTTTTGTCAAAGGAAATGAAGGAAGCCCAGCCAGACACTTGCCAATTGCTGAAGCAGAATTGGTCCCTACCTTTTTTCCTCATGAGGTATGTCTGACAGAGAGGAAACCATAAATGCCAGATGAGTACATGCATGTGTTGAGGAGAGTGTGACCACTCGAAAAACTTATATTCCTGTTCTCTATTTTCCTACAACTGGTATTTAACTTTCTGACCCCGCCCCCCAAAGTTTTAAGGCATTACATTTTATCAGTCCTCTAAAAGTCTTTGTTTATGCAGAAGTAAACAATCTTGAAGGTGCGATCTCAACCATTATAAATTTCACTTTCAAACTGCATTTCTATAGTTTTGGTTTTATGTATCATTTCAAGTTTCAAGCAACTAAGTCTGAATGTTATATGCACTAGAAAACAGTAATGCTGATTTTGTGGCTAATTTCCCCCTTTATACAACATGTGAACTAATGTGAATGGTGAGTCCACTTTTTTAATCACTTAAAAATAAAAAAATATGTAGCGAGATAAAGCCACACCGATGACAAGCTGTACAGCTTAGAGTAGAAATATGTGGAAACTTTTGTTTTAATTGAGATTGCAGTCTCTTGTTAGGCGAACTCAAGAATCCAGTTGTTTTTCGGTTTTAAAGTTTCACTACAACACAGGATTCGTTTTTTAAAACTGTTAACTGGGAGCTGGAGTTTCGAGTTCTACAATCCTCCACTCTTCTTTTGTGGCGTCCTTAAACTTTCTAATCTTTTCTAAACGCTAGTTTTATGAAAAAAAAAAAAAAAGACCGGCAGTCACAAGGGAGGAGGGATGCAAAGATGCTATTTTACAACGGAGAGGATTTACTTTTGTGCATGCTCGTCATTTACTTGTCCTTAATGAAGGTGACCTGGCGAACGCTTTGAGAAAACTAATACTAAAATTTCTAGGACCGGTAAGGGTCTCACGAAAGCAGACTCGATCCGCTTGCCGAGAGTGCGCAGCGCGCAGGCGCCCTGCTTCTCCCTCCACCCCACCCCTTACGACGGTCCGCACATTGATGACATCATCGGGCCGCCTCCACGCTCGGCCTCCCGGCCGGTGCTGGAGCCAAGTCCTGGCTTTGGCGTCGCAGGGCGGGGCGAGAGGGGGGCGGGGCCACTCTGTGCCACTACGCACGCGCGCCGGGAATGGCGACGGCGCTTCTTTCTTCGCCTCTCTCCACAGCTCTCCCCAGCCGGGGGGGCTGAGTGCCCTCCCCCTCTCCTCCCCGCCCCTCCCCTCGCCCCCCCTCCCCGCCCAGCGGGGCTTCTAACTGACAGTTGTCGCCGGGCCCGGTCCGTGCGCCGCCTCCTCCTGCCCAGGTCCCCCGCAGGTAGACAGGGGCGGGAGGGGGTGTGAGGGAGAGGAGGAGCCGGAGCGGCGGCGGCCCGGGGCTGCGGCCCAGTCGGGAAGGAGGGGAGCCCTCTCACTCCTCCTCGCCCCCTCCCTGCGCCCCGCCGGCCCGGGAGGGGGTGGGGCGCCGGGGCCCCGCCGGCCGGGCCGGTGAGCGGGCGGGCGGGCGGGCGGGGTGCGGAGGGAGAAGCCGGCGCGGGCCTCGCGCCGCCGGGAGGAGGGGAGGGGAGGGGAGGGGAGGGCACCTAGGCTCTCCTCTCCCCCCTCCCCCGCGCGCCATGTAACCCCGCCCCGCGGGCGCGAGCCTGAGACCCCCGCGCGCGCGGGTCCCGGCCGGCGGCTGGAGAGCGAGGCCCGATGCGGCAGGGGCTGCGCGGCGCCTCGGAGCAGCCCTGAGGAAGCGGCCCGCGCTCACGCGTCTCCCGGCGCCTCGAGCGCTCGCTCGTCTCAGCCCCAGCCTGGGCCTGCCGGGGGACATGAGCGCGCCGGAGACGCCGGGGGAGATGGAGCGGGCCGCGGAGGAGGAGCGGCCGCCACCGACGGCCGGGGACGGGATCGAGGAGGAGGCGGCGGCGGCGGCGGCGGCCCGGGCCTCGGGGCTGGACCGCAGGAGGAGCGTCTCCTCGTTGGACGGCGAGGAGGAAGAGGTGGCGGAGGCGACGGTGGTCGCGGGCGGTGGCTGCAGGGAGCAGGACCTGACCTACGAGCTGCAGCAGGGCTACCGCATCCTGGGCGAGTTCCTGCAGGAGAAGCACCGCGGCCTCACCGCCCCTTTCCTGCAGCCCTTGGGGGGCGTTGCCGCCGGGGAAGAAGAGGTGGCCGAAGGGCGGCGCAACGGGGGCCGGGGCAGTCGCGTCCTCCCGCAGCAACCTGGCCAGGGCATGTGTCTGTTGAAGATGGAGGAGAAGTTCTCCAGCGGCCAGTACGGGGGCATCACCGAGTTTGTGGCGGACTTCAGGTTGATGCTGGAGACGTGCTACCGCCTGCATGGAGTCGACCACTGGATCTCCAAACAGGGCCAGAAACTGGAGATGCTGCTGGAGCAGAAGTTGGCGCTTCTCTCTAGGTAAGCGAGCCGCCGGGTCCCTGGTGGGACTGACAGACAGACACAAACACACCAGCACACGTGTCCGAGGAGGGGCTGGGCCAGGGCCTGGGGGCGGCGCTGATAGGTGCTGAGTTGGTACTGGCACCTCAGGAGGAGGAGGAGCAGCGCTGGGCGTAGGATCGGAGGGGTGTGGTGGGCATGGCTCGGAAGGGTGAGTGCATCCTTGGAGAAGACCAGCCCTAGGAACCCCAAACTCCCGAGACTAGGTAGGTAGGTTCCGGATGTAAGAGCTACATGAGTAGGGAGAGGGAAAGCGTTTTGTAGGATGGAAGTTGAACCCGCCACTTGCATACAGTTTTAGCATAGCATTTAAAACAGCATGTAGGACGAAATACCTTGAGAAAAATAATTTTGGCTCATGTAGAAAGATGGTTAAAATTTTTTATCTTCTATCGGTTTCAACCATTGGAAATTTAGTGTTATTAAATGTTTCTTTTCATCTGAGAAAGTTAATTTTTTTACAGTGACACAAAATGAATGCATGAACACAACGTCTTTCATAAGCTTAGACTTGCATGGATGTGTGTGTCTGTCTGTCCGTGTCTTTTTCTTCTTACAGTGCTAGGTAGAACAGAGGGTGTCAAACATCTCAGACAAGTACTCTACCACCGAGTTAAGTGCCCACCCAGGCTTAGAAGTTTTCTTTATTCTACTAGAAATTATAGGTAATTCAAATTGTGCCATGCTTTTGGTATACACCATCTATATACTCCTCCCCTTTTAGGAGGAGAAAATAAGTTAACATAGGACACTAAAACTAAGGTATTTTATACAGTAGTCACTGTATAGTGGACATGAGCCCGGATAGTTAAAAATTTTCAGTAATAGAAACATCTTTAAGTATTAGGATGTCAGTGAAGGTGGAATTAGTTATTACCAAGGTTTTTTTATTTTGTGTGTGAGAGAACGTGTGTGTGTGTGTGTGTGTATACACTTGAGTATGTGCATTCTTGGGAAGTAGAAGCCAGAAGAAAGTGTCTGCTGTCACTCTCCACCTTATTCTTTGAGGCATGCCGCCCCCACCTCCCCCCCCCCCCCCCCCCCCCCCCCCCCGTGAATGTCTGGCTTGCATTTTCCTATATATTGGAAGCCAGCAAGCCCCAGCCAGCCTCCTGTCTTCATCTCCTTTGGAGGTGGGATTATGGGCTTGTTCCTTGGAAATGGGATCTGAACTTGAGTCCTCTTGATTGGGCATTAAGGGCTACTAACTGCTGAGCCATATCTCCAGCCCATGGGGTGGGTAGGAGTTTGACTATTAGTTAAATGAACTTGACTGACTCACTTTTTTTGGCCTGTTTCCTTGCCTATAAAGTGGAGACAATATCATCTTCAGAAAATTTCTGTGAGAACTAAGTAAGTTTTAAAAAGTGAAGTCAATACTATTGGTCAGGTAACTCAATGTATTAATCACAATAGTGCAATAAAATGAATATTATCTCAATTCTGAACCTGGGCATTATATATATGTAAAATAATGTATCCTTCATTTGTCTTTGGATGCTCATTTACTATTTTCACATCTGTTGCTGACTAACTTCACTAAAAGAGTAATATAGTGAGGGCTTAACTCATTCAGAAGGCACATTTCCCTTCAAACTAGTTTTTGCATTCTTCAATAAAGTAGAATTATTTGGTAATAAGTTAACTATTTACAAATTAGCTTTTAGATTATTTTAATATTTTATTTGGTGATTGATATTTCTATCTGTGTTTGTTACTCATCTTTACAGTGTATTGTGGCAGGTGTAGTACATCTTAAAAAACAGTCCATTCTTATGCCATCATTTTAAAAAGCTTTAAAAAAAAAAAAAAAGAATCTGTTTTTAACATGTGTGGTTGTGTGAGTGCAGTTGCCCTTGGAGGCCAGAAGAGTTTGTCAAATCCGCTGGAGCTCAAGTTACAGGTGGTTTGAGAGCCACCTGAAGTGAGTGCTAGGCATCAAACTCTGGCCCACTGGGAGAGCCATCTCTCTAGTCCCACAGGTCATTATTTTTAAATAGCTAACTATACCCCAAACTAATGTCACAGGATTTTAAACACAGAAGGAACTGTGGAGTTCTTGTAGTCCATCTAGTTTTACCGATGGAGAGATAGGCATATAGAATGAGATAGCTGCTTGGAAGTTCTAGAAAATGGCATATAGATGTAACTAAACTATAGATATTTTCACAAGTATTGTGTACATAACAAATCTTTGTTCTCCAAAAGAACAAGTTATTTTTTCCCCTTTGTATAAAAATGTATAAATGCCGTTATGCCCCCAGAAATACTCCCATACGATCTAATAGAAATTGAACTTAACAATGTTGTAAAGTAATAATACTCTGATTTATTAGCCAAAAGAAATAAAAGTCTTGCATTTTAGTAGCAATAGTAAAATGATAGTCTCAAATAGATAAAAATTTGAGTCTCTCATGTTTTTGTACCAATATTTGATGTATGCAAATTTTTTGGTAAGTGTTAGACTGTATTTGCTGATACTAAAAATTTTATAATATATTAGCTTAAAGTCTGAGTCATAACTGAGTAAATGTTTTGAGTGGGCAGAACTTGGTGAAAGCTATAGCTGATTGAAATATAAGTTAGACATACAAATGTGTTCTAGAACATTATTCTCCAGGCTTTGCATGTGATTATGATTTTCAGGAAATAGATTACTTTGTGAATATCTTAAAGTAATGTGTGCTACGTTAGTAATTAAGCCAGTATCACATAGTACTTGTTTTCCTTGTCTTTTGATGTGTATTTCTCAGACACTTAGGTAACTATTATTTTCAAATGGTAAAAATGACTTTAAAGTTGCTGCATATATGAAGCTGGCAGAAAGGCTCGGTGGATAAAGGCAGCTGCTGCCTGAGAACCTGAGTTTGGTCCCTGGAACTCATGTCGTAGAGGGAGGGAACTGATTCCTGGAAGTTGTCCTCTGACTTTCACTTGTGGGGATACACACCTCCCTCCATGAATACATGTAAAAGGATTTTTCCTTAAGCTGCTGCACATACTGTTGAGCTTTCCAATAAGCAGTTGATGGAGTATAGTAAGTAAAGAGGATGCTATGATATCATTGGAGAGCAGCCTAGTAATACAGGTGCTGTGAACATACTGTAACAAATCTCAGTTTCGTCATCCATACAGTGAAAATGTTAGGCTAGCTCAGTTATGCTACAAATATTTCTCTAGTTAGTGGAGTTAGACATTGTCCTTGAAATGAAAACCTCAAAGCCAAGAGTGGTGGCAAACACTTTTAATCCTAGTACCAGGAGGCAGAGGCAGGTGGATCTCTTGTGAGTTCAAAACCAGACTGGTCCACAAAGCAAGTTATAGAACAGCTAGGACTACACTGAGAAACTCTGTCTCAAAAAGACCAACTGGGGGGAAAAGGCAGAGAAATGAAAACATCAGCTCTTTGTCCCCACGTGGTATGAAGACATTTAAAGTAATAACTGTATATGATTATTATAATATGAACATACAGGCCAGAAATTTAGAGAAAGTTGGCTTACAGTTACAAGAGAAGGGAAAGTAGGGATGACAGGTAAGAGGAGTAAAGGAGAAGGGGAAGAATATGTAAAGCTGCGGGAGGGCTATACATGAACTGATTCTTAAAGGAGTTGAATCATGTTCTTGGATTTTTCAGGAGGGTTATATGAGAATATTCCAGAATGGTGAACTATAGTGAATGCAAAATATGAATAGTTTCTAGAAAATACAAGTAATTCTGTATGCTTTAGTAGGGGTCTAAAATCATATCTATACCACAGGAAGGTTTGTAGTATGACCCATCGAGGAAGGGAGGAAACTATTAGAACCTGAGAAACAATTGTTTTGGCTTGTATATGTTACTAAATTGTTTCAGAAGTAAGATTGAGACTCAAGTCTGTTCTGAATTTCTAATTAAATTGGAATTAATGATTAAATGCTTGCATGCATTCTAAATTGAGCTACAGATGTGTGCTGATTGTCTAAAGTGACACCATTTTTTTGTAGTACAATATTTATAATAGAAACTGGCTGAAAACACTACATGCTAACAGACAATATGATACACAAGTAGGATGGGGACAGACGGGAAAGGGCAGACCACAGGCCTACACCAAGAGCCTTTCAATGGACTGCTGAATGGACTGGATCTGCTGCTTTAGCTGAGAGCCTTCTTTGATGGTAACAGAACAGGCGATGACAGGTCTAGATACCCCACAGGCCCGTCCTAGGGCTTGCTTGGAGCGCACAAATACATAGGGGACATTCTTGTCTTCACATAGTAATGGGAGGTGCAGGATGATCTCCAAGGGCTCAGCGTCTGCTGCCATCACAACTCAGAGATGCCCCTGTTGAGGGTTTTGGTAGCTTCATTGGCTCCTTTCCGAAGCTGCTTGTAGTTACAGGACTGCTGAACAAGGTCCAGCAGCTTCTTGTTGAGGGTGACACCATATTTTTGAAAGGCCCAACATACTTTTTTAAGTAATTAATTTTATACCACTTGTCTTAGTTTTTGTTGCTATGTTGAAACATTTTGGGGAGGAAAGGTTTTATTTCATCTTACAGTTCCATAGTATACTCGATCATCGAGGGAAGTCAGGGCGGGGACTCAAACAAAGCAGGAACTGATAGAGAAGTCAGCCTTCCTTTTTATACCACTCAAGACCATCTGCCCAGGATGGTACCTGCCACAGTGAACTGGACCCTGCAGCATCAAACATCAATCAAAAAAAATGTCCTACAGGCTCCCCTACTGGCCAGGTTATTGGGGGAATTTCCTAAATCCAGGGTCCCATTTCTAAAACGATCCTAGCTTGTGTCAAGTTGACAACCAGGATTCTTCCCATTTTTATAAACTCTTTTCTCTTTAGACAAAGTTGTGTATTCTCAAAAAAAGTTAATAGGAATGTCATTTATCATTTGAGGCAACTGAGAAATACCAGTTATCATTAAAAATAGGGATTAAGCTAAACATGGTA